TCAAACATTTTACCGTGCAGCTTAATAAGTAAGTTCATACAGGCTTATATGAGAACTCGTTTTTTAGAATTGGGTTGTTAAAAATAACAGTCTAAATGAAGATGAATTCTAAACTAAATTGGAAGAATGACTACAATTTTTTACGTGCATATAGCTTATATATACCATTTTAAATAACATACATGATGTTCTCAATACTAAAAATAATTAATAATTATACCCTGAAAATTAGTACGACATTAAGAATAAATGTTTCGATTTATTAAATATACTTTTTACCCTTTATTAAACGGATAAAATTAGAGTTCATGGTCATAACGAGTATTACGATTTATTTGAACGTCACAAATGTACTCGCAATAACATACTATACAGTGACAGAATAAATATACTAACTATCAACTACATGGGAACAAATAGGAGTAAGGCTAGTATAGTAGTTGCTAGACAATTTACTGCAAGCATTGATTACAAGTTATATATTTATGAACAAATATTATATTATGTGTACATATACGTGTCACTGATACATTGTTACGGTGCTTAAATGCTCAATAACCTTATGTTTTATGTTAGGACTCATAATAATGTTACTATAAGTCCATACAATAATTGGTGCTTCCTAAATATCTTCTATTTTATATGGGCTGCGTACTGCATAAATATGAGGGAGACTGTGCTCGCAAATTCAATGCAATATTGGTAAATTGACGATCACTGATTCTATAGATTTGTATGCCAACATTACATGCATTATTTATTAATCGTGGAACGATATATTTTTATGCCAGTTCAATTTTTGTTCATCAATTTACCTAATAATTAAATTACAATTACGTAAATAAATAGTATTTATTTTTCTATTTATTTAAAGCAAAAAGAAACTTTTCAAATGACATAAAACAATTTTTCGCTCGATGTTTATTTTTAAATGTGAATTAATGAAATAATTGAATAATAGTTTCATCGTAGTTTTTTTATCATACCATACATTTTTATTTATAATATTTATATTCCACTCGGTCGCGTTTATATAAATATACAAATCGAATTACTTTAATTGAACGATATATGTTTTAGAAACGATTAAATTCAATTTTTACGGAGATTAACGTAAATATTGAAATGAAAAAAATAACAATAAGAAACCAGTTATAAATATTATTAGAATTTATTGATTTGACAATTATTTGTTTTTTATTAAGTTGTTTAAATTATAAATACGTTTTTTTTTTTTTTTTATTGAAACTCGGAAAAATTTATCAAATTAATTTATAAAACTTTAAAATAAACTTTGAGATGGCGTTTTTTATTCGCAAATAATTTTTCTGCCTTAGGGAGTCGAGAGCGCGATTGTTTATTTTTTATTAAATATTTCTCGGAATAAATTTACTTAATGTCAAATTAGCGGTTATAATATTAATCGTAATATGTAATCATAATTACAAACAATTTTTTAAAAATATCTCGAAGGAAAATTCACGCAAATTTACATACGCTGGTACTACAAAAGCCTAAAGACTTGGAATTTGGTAGAAATATTTCTTTTGCCATGTGAAGATCAGTTAAGAACGAGTTTCACGAAATCTAACTTCCAAAAGATATTGCGAAAACGATATTAGTTATAAAAAAATTACATTTTTAAATGATAAATATTTCAGTTAAATTTCAGTCTAGTTCGAAATTCAATTTTATAATACGTCAATTGTAGATTTTTTAATGCTTTATTTTCAGTAAGAAAAGTTTTGAAATTTGACTCATTAAATTACACTTAGAATGTCCTGCTTCAATGTTTTAGCTTCGATAAATTTTAAAGAATTAATAACCAAAAAATGTTCTTATCTTTGATCCCATAAAAGAATTTACAGCTTAAAAAAAGTAAATTTAAGAGAAATAAAAAATGAGGAGCAATTTCAAGTTACCATCTCGACCGACTACGACGAAATAACATTGAAGAAGGCATTACTATTTCAGAAGAAAAACACGAGTCACGACTAGAGCGCGAGAAGTACCTAAGAGCCCAGCTAAAGGGAATTTATGAAATTTCGTAATGTAATATTCCGATTCGCAAATGGCACGCGCTACTGCTTAACTTACATATCTATGATTTTAAAACTTTTTTGCTCTATGTATTATTTATTCCCAGATATGTCTTTTTCCAGGTACACCTAAATACACATCCACGTACTCGAGCGCAATAAATAATATTTTCGTCTCATCGTAGCTCTAAAATGAAATTACCCTGTTTCCAAATTTCAAATTTCGTCACAGTCGTATAAATAAAAAATAGCTAAGATGAAATATTTTATGAAATAAAATTTCGCGTTGCAAATAAAAATAATAATAATAATAACAACTGTAAATAAAAATCAGTGTTCTCTGGTCCGGAAAAAGGGATTGCAGAATATAATCAACATTGAACAAGGATATAATTTAAAGGGGACAAGGCAGCTGAAGGCTGAGAGGGACCTGTGTAGTCTCGTGCAGTAATAAATGTGCAAAAAATCAGTGATTTTGTAGCCGCTATTGAGACCACCGATGCTGATTGGCCACATTGCGTTCCGCCCCCGCAGCACCGCCAATCAGATCTGACGCTCTCTCACATCGATCGTGCACCATCCGCTATAGTCGGCCGCCATACTAAACTTCCTCGCATGTGCCTCTACGTATAGTACCTTCTACGCTATCCCGGTATCCTCTCAAGCAATACATCCATCTATGTTTATAAATACATACATACGCACATATATGCAAACGTGCCTATATTCACACACTAACATTTACATACATTTATACATACCCATAAATACACAACAGAACAAGAAATGTATCTATCTACATTCTACATGTATTCTACAACATACAACATATGTACACTTCGCTTTTCTCTCCAGAAAAATGTACCTACCAGTTCAGCCGTTCCATAAAAAATACACATCAATAAATTACCAGATAAAATATATGTGCAACAAAAACGCACAATAAATCTCTTCACTAGATCATATTTTTTGATTTTTGTCGTATTTATCTGTTATATACTTTGTATTTGGTTAAAAGTGAGTGATTTCCGTTAAAAAAATTTTTTTTGAATCATGTCTAAATATGGCCTTGTCGGGTCATATATGGCCGTATATGACTATATGTGAGAATAAAAGAGTTTATTATAATTTTTCAATTTTATATTTTTTCTAGAAATGTGTACGTCAATTAATACTTCGTATTATAATAATATCATGAATTGGTTTAGCAGTTGATTAACTGAAAAAAAGTCATATCAGCTCTTTCAGAAAAGAAGAAAATGTTTTTTATTCTAGAAATATACCTACATAACACTTCAAACTTAACCCTCTCATAAGGAGAACATTCAGCGATTATACTCCATCTGTCGGAAATTTTCACCATTACCTTTGATGGCTACTAAATTATACATGGCCATATCAAAAATTTTTTCATGGGATAGTATAATGTTAAATGTACTGAAAATTATTTTCAATATGGAGAAAATTGTTATAAACAGGTTTTAATTCAATCCGGAAGTTAAAGCTACTGTATATTTTATAAGAAAGGAAATCTAATGGATGAATATATATACATAGAGGTCACGGAGTCTTGTCATTACGGGTATGTCTACTGCTACTTTACAATAATTACAGACATTCGGGTTATACTCAAGATGTATAGTTTTATTAGTTGTATTAGTTTTATTTTTATTGGACTTGTCTTGCTAGTTTATTTTTTCTATTTCTACAATATCGATAGCTTCTTCTTTTTTGGTTTGCTGTAGTGATTTGACAATAATGTTCTGAAAAATTTTCTGTCTCTTTATCAATTGTACAAGTATATCGTTGACAAATTTGTTCCATTTAAGACAAAATTTGGATCTAATGTATTTATATTAAACTGATTTGTTCTCTTTCAAGATATTTATATTAGTAAAAAGATTTTGATAGGTAGAACTAATCATAAAAATTGACAAAATGTAACCTAAAATTAATAAAAGATTTTGTATACGCATGCCCAAAAATTAGTACAAAATCCGTATTACAGAACACAAAAAAAATGTTCTTGAATCAAGTATATAATTTTGAAGAACTTAATATTCTTGATTTTAGTAGAAAAATTCTTGATTTATAGAAATTTTTTTTGATTTAAGGAAATTTTACTTGATTCGAGATTTTTTCATGTTATTTTTCAAGTTAATTTTTTTTTCAGTGTAGTATATTTTTACTACTGTAATTTTAATATATGTTTAAAGTTATATACTTGAGTTAAGAATTTTCCATTGATAATAATATAATTTTGATATCAGACTTTTTGTTGTTTTACGGTCATGACATGGTTTTTATTATTATGAATAGTAAGCAACTTTGTAAGGGAAATAGAATCTGTGTAGTACTAAATTTATTACTAGGTCTTAACGGATCCACAGTTCTTGGACGTACTACTTAGTAACATGAAGTATAGTAATTACAGTAGTATAGCAACATTATGTTCTGACTATCATAATTAATACTATAGTATACTACACATGAGTAGTAACACTGCCACCTACAGTAATTTTCTTCAATCAAACTAGAATTATTGTTAACGACTTGTATAGGGAATTCTACGCCAAATAGATTAATTTAAGATTTATTTAACAAAAAATTTTTCACGTTTTTCAAATAAAATTTCTTACAAAAGAAAATCTAAAAATTTTTTCCAATTTTTCAATATTAACCTCGAAATGAAGATTTCAAACTTTTAAAATTAACAATTCATATAAATAAAATTTAGACTCAGTAAGTTAAATGATTATTTAACAGTGTTATAAAAAATAGTATGACAGACAGTATAAAATCCCGCGGCATACCAAGACTCGACAGGTGTTCAAACTTCTTTAAACGAATCCGATGAATAAAATAAATGGGTTGACAGTGACGATAAAGAGAAGTTCCTTCGATTATAACAAAAGCGAGGAAGCATAGTCTGGCTCCTCATTTGATATTAACACGGCAGCGATGAGAAAGGAAAGAAAGATAGAGATAAAAATAGAGGAAAAGCCAAGTAAAAGAATGAGAGAAAGCACGATGGGTGATGTGCAAGTGAGAAGAGAAAGAAAAATAAAAAAAAAAAGGGGCGAAAGAGACAAGTGTAAAGTGCAGGGGACTTTGAACACGACTTCACACTTTGACTCGCAACGACCGTAAATCTAGGTAATTATCAGTGAAAGTTTGCTCTCTTCTCTCTTGCTGAAACTTATTCCGAGTCACTTGTCTTCCTTTAACTAATTCTCATGAGAATCTCAAGATGAGGTAAAAGAAAAAATAGATTTTTACTATTCAGTACTCTTTGAATACTTATTCATTTTTAATTAACTTTTAATTGCTTCAAAATACATTTTTATCAATGATAATTACTCCGTTAAAAAAAACAATAATAATATATATTATTTACCCATAAAAAAATTTCTGATAGTCTGATCTGTCTGTATATGATGATATCAGAAAATTTAATGTCTATATATGGCCTGATAAATCGAAATACAATTTTTTACATGTTCTGATATGCCCATCGCTGCCTATACTGATATAAAAATTGAATTAATTTGGCTTGATATGGCTTCATATGTCCAAATATGACTTGATATGCTCATACGCAGAAAAAAAAATTGACTTGAATCAAGTAAATAATTTTGAAGAATTTTATCTTCTTGATTTGAGTAGGAAAATTCTTGAACTATTAAATTTTTCTTGGTTTAAGTAAATTTTATTTAATTCAAGAATTTTTTGTCTTGATTCAAGACAATGACACTCTTTAAAATTGTTTTCTTGGCTGAAGAATTTTCCTATTGATTCAATTTAATTTTTTTTTCAGTGTATATAAACTTGATATAATCATATATGCCCAAAAGGTATTTCATTTGAAACGAAAATTATGTTTTTCGCTGACATTCAGGCATATTGTATTAAATATTGAAAAAAAAAAATTTCTTTAAAATATGTGTCGTTAATTTCAATGTCAAGTACTTCCTTTTTGACATTTAATTTTAGAGCTTACATTTCAAGTCACTTTTTTTCAAAATTTCTACAACTTTGCGCCGTTTAGAGCTATCATATTGATGAAAAATTCATTTTTAGTGTATGTAATGCTTTTTAGAAGCGTTTTTAACGATTTTACTCCAACTCGATTCACTTAAATTGTATCAGCTCTCAGTCATTTTTTGTATATTTTTAAAGATATTCAGAGAATGGTTTCTCTTATCAACAACTGCATAAAAAAATTTTTAGTGAATTAAATTTCTTACAAAATTGATTCTAATCAGGTTCATATCCCTCAAATGCTTAGTTCCAACGATATGAGTTAGTTATGTATTTTAAAATAAACAAAAATTATATTATATCGAGCTTAATGCATCTTAACTTTTACCAATCGTTGGTTAACATGTCACGTTAATTGACGAACATATTTTTATGAAAAATTGAAAAATTATATTAAACTATTATTTAATTCTGATATATAGCCTGATTTATGACCGGATTAGGTCACATAGGGAAATTAGCCATCATATAATTTTTTTACGGGTACTTATTGCCTTATTCATTGCTGAATAATTAATAGTGTCACTTTTAATCATTTATCATCAGATAATTTGGTGATTAAATATTTATAAATATGTGTATTAGATATTATATCTTGTGTTAATTTAAATTTTGTTTAATCGTATGATGCTGAAACAATATTAGTACCGATATTAAAATAGTTTCACACGTTTATTCCTAATTTAGTATACAAGCAACATCAATTGTTTGTTTTCGCACAGGCTCTAATTATTATTGAGTTAGTAACTAAATTGTTAGGAAATAGAGTGCGTTGAAAATTTATTTTTTATATCAAATTTGATTTTTTATTCTGTTAGTTTATAAACTATGACTTATAAGTCATTAAATTTCAATGTTACACGGAAAGGAAAAAAATTTTTTAGTCAAGAAAATTTTCTTAAACCACGAAAAATATATTTATACATAAAAATCGCGCGAAGTTAAGAGTCAATACAACTTTTAATATCGAGTACGAGTATAGAATTCAATCAATGTTAACCCAAGGGTTATAGGTCACGCGTATGTCAGAGAAAAAGAAAAAAATCGTTAAAAAAAAAAAAAACAATACTGAACGGAAAAAATCAAGTTTAAACAAAATTTATCGATTATATTGTGACACTTAAAACTTTCACTCTTTGTTTTTATTTAATAACTAGTTAAATCATTAAAAAATAAGAAAACAATTTTTCCAATATTTATTTCTGTTCATATTAGGTCACTTGGAATTGAATGATTCAGAACAACTTTGAGGTATAATATAAAAGTGGAGTCAGACGTCGGGATTGCGGAATTAAATTAACCAATAAAATATAAATGTGATTCCTAAAGTAACTTGTTTAATTGGCAGCGCTGTCGCGACGGCGGTATGCTCCGATATTCTGTCAACCTTTCCGATTACTACTTGCACTTAAAATTTTAATTTATACATACACACGTTAAAATTTTAATCACCTTGATTATTCATAAGCCGACTATTATTTTCTAATGTAGTAGTTTACTTTGCCACTGAACAAAATCAATTTCATCATTTTTTGGAATTACTGTGTCTCGCTGAATTATTATTAATTTAAGGATACTTTATACTATCCATGTAATTCAAATATTTGTTTTTATCTCCGTCAATTACAGAAAATTTTTTTGGGAATTAATTGAATTATTAAAATGTATAATCAATAAATCTCAAAAATTTTTTTTACACCTGATAAAATCTAACAAAAATTTTCTGAAAAGTAATTTCTAAAATTCTTAATTGCACCATATTTTTTTCAATGACGAAAAAGTATTAGTAACATCATAATGTTGTGAATTATCATCACATCAAATATTGAATAGTTTGACTTTGATTCCGTTTATTTTTACTCGTGTTATAAATTTATCTCTCATCGATCATTTTAATTATCTGAGAGCCTCTGTGTAGGTGTCATATCATTAAAAAAGCTATTTGTCAGCCTTGATACAGTTTATACTAAGAAACCCGGGTGCTTTCTACAGTTATAACATTACTTAAAATATAGCACATTACGAATACTCTTATTTATGGTTCTATAGTAAATAAATCAATTTTCATTTTATTGACACATATAGGTGGCAATATTCCACAATAAATGAATAGAATTTATAAAAATAACATCGTATTAATATTTAAACATAAATTTATATAGATGTTTTTTGTTTTCAGAGTCGGATATTGGAAGATGCCTCGATAATGTGTAATTCCTGGTCACCTAGACACAATGTGAGTATAAATACGTAATGTCTGAAGTCGATAAGGGGAAATGTAAAAAGGATGTCATAAAAAGTATATCGAAGTTTTTTTAGATGTAAAATTTCGAGGGTTTTTTTTTATGTACGGAAACATTAAATTTTTTATCAAATTTTCTGTTATTATAAATGATAAAATTTTTTCGGTACTGAAATCAGCGATCATCTGATCATTGATCTGTTTCATTTAATAAATAAATTAGCATTAAAAATTAATGTATAAAATTTATAGTAATATTGTTTTTTACTATTTTTACACATAAACTTGTGAAAATTTATTTTTGTCACAATTTAATTGCTATAAAAATAACTAACAATTATCAAAGGTTCGTTAATTTCAGTGTCATTAAGTAATAGTTTATTATGAAATTGTTCAAACAGTGAGTCAGGTTAAAAAAAAAAGTAGCTCAAGAAAAAAAGACACTGTTGTCTTTAATCGTTGAACGGAAACGGCGCGAGATACTGCCGTTATGTTGGATATGTATTATTGATCTATACATAAAAAATTTTAACTTTAAAGATTTTTCGTGATTGAAATATTTTAAATAGCTTAGTTTCAACAGTAGATACACTGAGAAGCAATATGTGGTGAGAGATCTGGTAGCTTAACTTATAGAGCTTCTGATATGTAATCAGAGTGGTTCAGGTTCAATTCCTGGCTTGGTTCTGATCTCAATAATTTTTCAAAGTTATTTTTTTATTTTAATAAATTTACAATATGATTATTATTTATTAAATACTCGAACAGACACAATATTTCCAGCTCACTAGTAGGCAATGACACTGACTTATTATTTTTTTAATTTCATACAAAAATGATTAAATAATTATCTCTCGCGTTTTCTTTTATTCAATGAGGAATCTTCTCCTTGTTATATTTTTTCCATGACCTTTTTACATACATTCGTATAATATTTTCTAGTTTTTATTATGTTTTATGAAAGTAAAAAAAATATGCATTATTATTATCATTATTAAAATAATAATAATTGAATGAAGCTCAACAAAACAGAGTCGTAGTTGGTAACTTCCGCTATACTTAAAATTCGTTTTTATTTTTCTATTTACGTCGACAAGTCCGACTGAAGGCGGTTTTTAATGCTTCCTGCGTGGAGCAGCAGAGTTTTCTGAGTGGATGAGAGGAAACTTGGGGATGGGGTAAAAGAGATGACGAGGGAAGGAGGAAATGTAAGAAAAAGGAATAAAATGAAAAAAAGTTTGAATATATATAATCACAAGAAAAGCAAAAATAAAAAACAGAGAGTGGACTGTGTGCTGCTGTAGTATATACAAAGTGTGTTTTCAGCCATAACGTTTATGTTTTATTAAACCCGCACGTAGTTACTGCAGTGGCCAACATAAACTGGCTAACTCGTGGTTACGATTATGGTCAGAAGCAAATTGATTATTTAGATACACGATGAGATGGCTTATGAGGATAGCCTGTATCTTCTCTGTCATAAAAACTACTCAAGTATATATTACTGGTGTCCTTTACTTCTTTATTATACACATATATATATATATATGTACATGTATTATACATTTAATATATATATGGCTGTGTACATGGCTGGCTTCTTTCCAGCAGACATCTGCGCAAAAAAGCTTACTTCACTCTTTATCTCTTCAAATTTAACCTAAAACACTGTCTGCCCAATTAACTCTTACATACTTAAGTTTTTAATGAGTTTGTAAACTATTTTTTTTTTTTTTTTTTTCAAATAAATGTTTTCTCAGTACTTTTTAGTGTTTTGTTTCTCTCAATATTCATTTTTAAATATGAAGGAATAAAATATACCGAAGATGAGATGGAAATCGTTGTAATTGACCTCTGACTTTTCAACAGAAAGTTATTTAAAAATAAATAGGGATTTCATTTTCTTCCAACTGTAAGAAGAAATGTAATTGACATTCACTAAAATAAACTTGTAGAAAAATTTTACAGTGTCACGCATTTTTTGATAAATGAGACATGACCAAGTGAGAAAAATAGTTTGGTGATCTATCGACGCCATTCGACTTTTTTTAATAATACTAATCAATTAAATTAATAAAACACTCATGGTAACACGAATTTTTCATGAAAATTTCACATTGTTTTCAAATATAAATGGTTTTGATATTGAAACATTTTTGCTCAAATTTCGTTGTTACAATCAAAAGAATAAAATACCAAAAAATATAACATGCTTTTTCAATCTTTTAGATTGTTTTTAAACAAATAACTTTTAAAAATTTTTAAAAAATTATTAAGTATCAACTTTATACTCCTGATAAAAAAAAAAAAAAAACTAATTTGAAAAGTAAAAGTAGAACAAAAATTTTCAATTTTGACTTTTTTTTACAAAATAATAATATTGAAATTCTTTTTTTGATTAGTTGATTTTTCAAAAACGGATGTCTACAAAATCAAAATTGTCGATCATGAATAATAAAACATCTTGAGGTTAATTTTAGAAGCTGATATAATTTGGACGAAATAACACGAAAGTTCAACAACCCAATTAACTTAAAAAATTAATCAGTCTGTGCATTTCATGAATATAATTATAGTAAATTATATTGAGGAAGAAATTAATAATTCGTAACAATTAGAATAAAAGCGATTGTCTGAGAGCCTGATCTTTTTTTAAACATTTATATTGAATTTATGCATGATATTCCGTTATCTGAAATATAACAGTGGTGTCGGGTCGTCTGCGACAGATATTAAATTTAGATTGATATTCAAAATTGTGTCAATCCCTTGAATTATATTTATAAACTTCTTTATTTAATTTATCTTATCTCATTTTTAAAAATATTACTTTTATGTATCTCTCTATTATTATTTTTTTCAAGCAGTCGTTCAGACTCTAGACACCGGCATAACACTCCGGTATGCAAAGTCTCTACTCGTTTTCTTGTCACCTGTCACATTTTCTTTAGATTATTTTATTATTTATTCACAAATCAGTCTAGCAAGTATTCATATACATACCATATGATACTTTTTTATAACTATAAATTAAAGCTATAACCGTACTAACTTAATTAATCATTATTTGTATTCATGCACACCCAGTTTTTATAAATTACAAATCAACAGACAGTTTGACATTGTTTGAATATTTTTCAACTACACGGAAAGAAAAATATGGGAACTATTCCCATAATTTTATGGGAACAGTTCCCAGGTAATTATAGGAACTGTTCCCATGAATTATGGGAACTGTTCCCATAATTATAAGAAATTTTCCCAAAATTATGGGAAAATTTCCCATAATGATGGGAATGGTTCCCATAATGGTATAGGAATGATTCCTATACAATTACCCGGGGAAAACGGTTTAGATATGACCAGATATAATTATATCTGGTCA